AAAATGACCTAGACACTTTGATCAGAACTTGTCATCCATGAAGCACAAGAGGAACCAAGCCATAGACTACAACTAGAGCCCCCAAAATCATGTGAACTTACTCTTAAAGAGCTGATATCTAGAATGTTCGCTTTACAAGGTTATAGTTTACATTAGTCACTGGGTGGCCCACTTTTCCTATCTGGTGGACATCAAAGCTCCAGAGATCTTGGAGAATTGCAGCCCAATCCGATCAGATCAGGCAGCTCTGGATCAAGTAATCAAGTCTTATTGTAGGGGGAGAATCGCGTTTTCATAAGGCCTAAAAAAAGGGGTCACTGGGAATGCCAACAGACTGCCTTAAAATTATCCTCCCTGGGCTCTGTTTTGGGATATCCCGCATCAACTTAAGATGGATTTTTAAGGTGCACAAATTCCCCCTTACAAAGAACTCGAAGAAGATGTTGTTGTCAATGTACTGGTACTCGAAGAAGACGGAGCCCGGCTTCTTCAGGTGGACGGTGTAGATTAGAGAGACGGTGCAGTCGTCCCTGTTGGACTCGATGTAATTCCCACGGGGGGCCCACGAAGATCTGGACAGAAGATATAAAGGGAAACAAGGCCTTGGGTTACTCCTGCCCGGCACCTCAAGGTTATACTGATGAGGAACGGTTAACTTACAGCCGGAGTGTCAAACTCTCATTGAGGGCTACATCAAGGCTGTGGTTGACCTCAGGGGTCCAGTGGGGCATGGCCGACTAGGTAGTTTTGGCCAACAAGGTAGGCGTGGCCAGCTTGACACCACTCAATGGGCGTGGCCAACTCAGTGGGAATGACCAATGGTGGGCACGGTCAGGTTGATGCCACTCCTCAAACTGCTGGCATGTTTCCTCTTTGCATTGGGTAAACCAAGCCAAAACCACGTGGGCTGGCCCCTTACATTTACCAGGACAGCCCCATGGGCCGGATGGATCCAACCACATCGTGGGCCTTGTGTTTTGACATCCCTGATTTATAGGCTCTTTACTTAATTATTTATTTGGCGTAGGTCAATACGCTGTTTAATAGGCTGCTGGAATTGGGGGAGGGAGTTTTCGACACTTTTCATCCATGGGGTTTTCCTGGCAGGGAGACCAGAATGGGTAGCTGTTCCCTGCTCCAGTCAAAGCCATGGGGTTTCTGTGCGGCTGTGAGAGTTGGACCACAAGGAAAGGCCGAGTACCGAAGAATGGAAGCTTCCTAATTGAGGGTTTTTGGAGGAGGAGGATCCAGTCAGTCAATCCTCAAGGAAATCACCCCTGAGTGACAGGCCCTGAAGCTGGAACTCAACTACTTCGGCCACTTAATGAGAAGAGAGGATCCTCGAAGAAGACTTTTGGGAAAGGCGGAAGGCCAAAGGAGAAGAGGACAGCAGAGGAGGAGATGGCTAGATGGTGTCCCTGATGCAATGAACATGGATTTGGGCAAACTCTGGGAGAGAGTGGAGGAACAGATTTCCCCTCCTGTCCTCTATTGTCTCCTGGAGTTCACCCAAATTCATGTCCATTGTGTCAATGACGCTATCTGGTCTTTGGTAGAGATGCTTAAATAAAGACAGGATGGGTGACCATCAGTCAGGAACGTTGCAACGAAGCTTTCTACATTGGGCAGAAATTGGACCAGCTACTTTCCAAGGTTTTTCCTGACTCCTGCATTCAATGAATGTGTAATACATCCAACACTGGTCTGCAGGAGGATGCTGGGCCTTCTGAATGCTCAACCTAGACCAGATTACTGCCAGGTGAGTGCTTGTTTACATCCTCTGGCTGGCATCTTCTGGCTACTATTGGAGTCCTGGCATCCATAAGGAAAGGAAGGGACCGGTTCTCCACGAAGACCTGGAGACCAGAAGGTCCTTACTTGGCACAGCTGTCTGCTTTACTCTCAGCTGAGCCAAGAGCGGAGTCCATGTAGGTGGCTACGTTAGAGAATCCTGCCGGCAGCTCATCCCACTCATCGAATTTGATCCCGCTTCCCAGCGAGTAAGTCCCTTCGGCGCATTTGCTGCAAACCTGGTTCTTCATCTCCAGATATTCACCAGAAGCGCAAGAGAAAGCTGAGAAGGGAAACGTTGACAAAGGATTAGTAGAGAAAGGCAGTCGATCCAAGAACATTTTTTTTTAAAGGCATTGATTATTGCACACTTCGCTTACAACAATGGTAGCAGCAATTTGGGGAATTGCACTGCCTTTCCCATTTTTTGCATTCAGGGACCTTCCTGTTTTAACTAGGATGGGGAGTGGTTAGGGTGAGGAGGGGCTGGGCCAGACCTCCCCTTCTATTCTCACTTCAAGACTCACTGAAAGTGAAAGAGTAATGCAATTCGTTACAAGGAAGAATTTTTTTTTCCTGCTGAGGTTTTGTTTTGTTTTGAGCAGTTTGGGTAACTTATTGTTACCTGTTGTGGTTGTGAGGCTGAAGTTGTGAACTTTGCCACCAAAACCTCTCAAGTCAACCAGAGAGGGGTCATGGCATCTGGTTATCCTGTAACTGGTTTATACAAAAGGTAGCTTGTTTTTTGAAGCTTAAAATAAATATATATTTTGGTATGATTAAGTAGAATTTATTCCTTGTGTTCTAACACTACAGCAGGGAGGGACGGAAGGAGGGAGGGAGGGAGGGAGGAGAATGAGAAAGGAAGGGGAAGGGGAAAGGACAGGAGAGGGAGGGAGGGAGGGAAGGAGGGAGGGAGAGAGGGAGGGAAGGAAGGAAGGAAGGAAGGAAGGAAGGAAGGAAGGAAGGAAGGAAGGAAGGAAGGAAGGAAGGAAGGAAGGAAGGAAGGAAGGAAGGATCCAACCAATATGCTTTAGGTCATCTTCTGATCTTCTACTCATAATTCATCTACAAGAGAACATGCAATTTCTGCAATGCTCTTTTTTTTTTTTTTTTTGCAATGTTGATCTGTAGTGAACTCGTGGGCCGCATAGCAAGAGGAACCACCTAGGAATAGAGAATATAATTTACATGTATGCCTTCTGACCAGACTTGACTTTTATATATATTTATATATTCAGCTGAACATGCAGTGAATTAGAACTAGGCCAGTTTTAGGACATTGAAAAGGTTCTCTGTTGCTTCACTAACGTCCCTTAGCCTCTTCTTTCCATTTTCCAGGGCTGTGTTTTTGTTCCTTAATAGCACACATCTCCAGAAGGAGGAATTGCTCTGAGGAAGCCAGCTGTTGCCTGGTTTAATCAGCAGCCGATTGCCACTAATAGCACATGAATATCTGGGGCCCCTGGACGACTTGATTTTCAACTCAATGTGTTCTTCTCTCAGACCATGAACAAGACTTCACGTGCCCTGCAATCAGCTGGGCCCCCACACTGGGTGAGCACAGTGTGGTGAACACACCTTCTGGGCTTCTGATGGCTCTCTGGGGAGACCAGGAATACACACCTGGTTCCCAGGTGAGTTTGTGGTTGCTAAGCTGCCTTTCGTGAAAACTTCAATGTCTCGTGTTATTATTTCTCTTCGCCCTGAAAAGCAAACGCTCACCATTTCCCTCCTTCGGAAGGATGTGGCTGGTAATTTGTGAGATCTAATCCACATTAGATCTGCTCGAGCAGGAGACCCTGCACTATTCCAGACAAGTGACCCTTCAGTCTCTTCTTGGAAACACCTCCAGGGACGGAGCACCCACCACTTCTAGTGGCAAGCTGTTCCACTGGTTCATTCTTCTCACTGTTAAGAAATTTCTCCTTATTTCTAGGTTGCTTCTCTTCCTTATTCAGTTTTCATCCATTGCTTCTTGTCCTGCCCTCAGGTGCTTTGGAAAATAGCTTGACTCCCTCTTCTTTGTAGGAGCTCTTCAAATATGGGAATATTGCTATCCTGCCCCCCAAACCCCCGTCCTTCCTTTCTCTAGACTCAATGGAGATTATTCCAGAAAGAATCTTAAAAACCTCATTAGGCTCCTTACTGTTTATGGGATCGTAGCAGAGAGCCGTAAATGAAACATTAATACTAGTCAGCTCGGGTATTTTATTTTATTTTTAATTCCCAAAGATGAAAAAAAAAATCCAATGCAGATACATTGGCCAGCTACCTGAAAAACAACAAGCGTTTTAACTTGGGAACAACGCTGACACTTTTCTGCTAAATTATGACCAGGCTGGGCAAGGAAAATCCCCAGCAAAATTGTGAAGCCTCGTTAGCCACAATTGCTTTTTGCTCCACTAAAATATTAACAATACATAACTACATAAAAAGAAATTACATTTCCCTCCTGCGCTGGTAGAAAAACCACACTGGGCAACTAATTGTAAATTTATATTCTTTTACTTAAAATATCAAGGTGGTTATGAGTAAAATGAAACCACAGAACGGCAGGGAGCAAACAGTCCTCTAACAGGCAGCCCCATAAAAACAATAAAATTTATAACCGAGAAACAATTAATAAAAGAAGAAACGGATCAAAATCCTGAAGAGAAGTCTGAGAAACAGGACCTATAAGGAAGAAAAGTTGTATGGCTCCAGACACTCATAAATAGGTCAGCAATTAGACACTGCTTCACAGTGCTTCACAGCCCTCTCTAAGCAGTTTACAGAGTCAGCCTCTTGCTGCAATCTGGGTCCTCATTTTACTGACTTCGGAAGGATGGAAGGCTGAGTCAAGCTTGAGCTGGTCAGGATCGAACTGCTGGCAGTCAGCAGAATTAGCCTGCAATACTGCATCCTGACCACTGCGCCACCAGGGCTCTTTAGGTTAAGAGTTACCAGTGGTGGGATTCTACCCGTTTCCCTAATGGTTCGGTGATTGTGCACTTCACGCGTGTGCGCGCACGCAGATTTCCAGACACCAGGTGAGGCTCTGCTGCGCCAAACGGCTGAGGGGAGAAAGAAGAGAAAAGCGCAGGGGCAGCTGGGAGGGCCAATCCTGCCCTTTTCTCTTCCTTCTCCTCTCAGCTGTTTGTCAGGGGATTTTTTTTTTTTAACTACTCCTTGGGCCCAACCAGTAGCGGTTTTTGCTACCGGTTCAGGTGAACCAGGCTGAACCGGTAGCATTTCACCACTGAGAGTTACCATGCTTAGGGGGCCACCCCTGAGAAGATCCACCCTCTGCCAACCTGTGATATTAAATAAATAGTTCATATGAGGATTAAGCAAGTTTTCAGCTAGGGGTCCGAAGGCTCCTTTTGAGGTCGGGCTTTGTCAGCTTCATGGCATCAACCAGATAGGAATCCCAACCAGGTGAGCTAATGCGACTTCCTTGCGGAGCCACCTTGGCAGACCCTCACAAGTCTATAAGTATATTTGTACAAGTACAACTCTCCCACTGTCTCTTTTTTAGCCTGAGAAACTGCACGAAGGTGGCCCATAAGGGGAAGCATTCAGGGTTGGTGAGCTCTGCGGGAGATTTGCCACCACGTTATGATCATTTAAAAAGTTTTTAATTTAAAAAGCTCCGTTCTTTTTTTCTGATGGATTAGGACACTTCATGTTTAAATCAGAGAAAGACCTACTGCATTCTTTTCCTTTGACGGGGTCAGGCAAGCCAGAACATTCGGCGCCCGGATTCGGGATGGCCACCCTCCATCTGGACTCGCTGCTGTCACACTCGGTGTACTCGAAGTGGTAGTCGGCCTGCAGGACATTTAGGAAACAAAAGAACGGTGTTTGTCCATTTGTCTGAAATAGGGTTTCCTGCCTGAGCAGAGGGTTGGACTAGAAGACCTCCGAGGTCCCTTCCGGCTCTATATTCTAACTCTTTTTTCCCCTTAGATAAGCATTTTGTTTGGGTCAGATTAAAGTTGTGAGATTCAGCCACAACATGACCTGGTTAAGAGGCTCCCGAGGGATGGCCAAGGGATGGGCCCACCTATTCAACTGCTGTGGTTTCTGCCACAACACCATCGAACATGCTTTTGACAAGTCAACACTAACTAACCCTTGTTGTTCTAGAGCCAGCAGCTCCGGTTTAGGTCTTGGTCAGGGGAATGGAGAAAAGAAGAAGAGGGTTCAAAAAGGAGGAGGCAGAAGAAACGTAGTTGACTTGCCATTCTTTTCACAGGTGTCTCAAAGACACAATGCAAATCTGGGTTGCAACTGACTTTATCTACAGCCTGCAGTAAGATTGAGGTTTTAGGTCAGAGTCAGAAGGTGACTATCGCTATTAAAAATCCACCTACTGCTTAGCCCTTTTTATATCTTCATCTCTCTCTCTGTGTGTGTGTGTGTGTGTGTGTGTGAGTGAGTGAGAGAGAGAGAGAGAGAGAGAGAGAATGGGAGGGAGTGAGGGAGAGAAGCAGATAGACAAACAGAGAGAGGGAGGGAGGGAAGGAAAGAATAAATGTGTGTTCTATCTAACTGTCTGTCTGTCTATCTATCTATCATCTCTCTTTCATCTCCATTTCCCTATCTCTCTATTATCTGCCTACATCTGTCTGTCTGTCTGTCTATCTTCAATATCTATATTTATCATCTCCATCCATCCATCCAATATTTTCCAAGTATTCCAGAGAGCCTGCCATAATCAATTTTGCAAGGATCAGCTCCAAAGGTTAATACCATAATAACATAGCAAAGAAAGCAGTGTGCGTGCGTGCGTGTGCGTGTGTGTGTGTGTGTGTGCAATTGTTTCCCCCTGCACTTTCCTTTGACCTTTCCCTCCATCTTCCCTGAGAGAGAAAAGCCAGCTGTTTTCCAACAAACAGACCCTGTTAAAAATGGGGTTTTTTAAAAAAAAAGACTCCTCCAGCCAGAAGGGACAGAGACATGGAGCAGGGTTGATATGATCATGGCAGTTTTCCAAACTGAAGGGGGATGCCAGGCCGGGGCGCTGGGAACCATTTTAGAACCAGCTTTGGACCTGTTTCTGTCTCTTTAATGTTGACGCTGTCCAACCGATGAACAGCTGGCTTATCTATCGTTGGTCTGAGCCCACTCCAAAGGGGGTCTGTTTATCGAAAGGGAGGCAAGACTGCCGAGCTTGTGAGGGATGCGTTTCCTCACTAGCAGGAATTGTAGCTTCCCACCCACCCACCCCAAACATATGCGACCCCCTCCGTCTTTCCTGCCTTCCCCCAAGGAGGCCTAGTCATAGTCGCCCTATTTTCAGACTTCCAGGAAGATGCTCCCAAGTCAGGCTGATGGTCCTGAGCAAGGCTGCGGGATGGAAACGATGGCAGGTGCGGAATTATTCCGGGAAGGAGAATGCCCGCTACTTGTTGGCTTGGAATAATTGCCTAGGTGAGTTATATTCAACATAATCCTTGCGCATGATGCTCAGGGGGTGGTGGTGGCTGATTCATTTAGTCTTCATCCATCAACTGCTCAGTGCCAGCGGCTACAATGCAAATCACTCTCTAATTGTCTTGATTCATTTTGCGCCCTGTGGTTCCCATCTGTTTTGTCTGCCAGATGCAATGGGGATTTTACTCACCCTCCTTCCCTCGTCTCTATTTCACCTCATTTACTGGTGGAAAGCAGAGTTGTCCACGGGGGAGGCCTTTAAAAGGCCATCAAGAGGGCAGCCGTAACAATGCAATCAGAGCTGCCATCCTGATTTACCTGACCTCTTTGCCCCTTGATGGAAAAACCTCTTTCAAAGGCAGGGGGTCACTTCATGGACCCATTCATATAACGTATCTCTCTTGTGGAAGACACAGTTTATCTGTAGGAAAAGAAGAGGCAGAGCCTGGAGGCGGTGTCAAGAGAGGACTCAGCCTAGAATAGTTGCATGGTCACAAATGGTCTAAGTCCAAATGGCTGGCTGGAGAATTCTGAGAGTTGAAGTCCCACGCATCTTAAAGTTGCCAAGGTTTGCAAACCCTGCAATAAATTGCATTCTACTGTTATTGTTATTGTTATTAGATCCTACTTTTTACATTATAGAGCCCAGAATATCACACAGAAATTGATATACATTCAGCTAGGCTTCTGAATGCATCTCCCCTTGAAAGCCATGCAGTGCAGAGGATTGATTTCTAAAATCGGGAAGGTGTTCACGAGCAGCCAAGGAGGAGAGACAGAACCTGACAAAACTGAAAGCAGAAGTGCCTCTCGCTCTCCTTGAACCCCGACACAATTTTCACACCCAAACCTAAACCAAGTGGGCATTCATGACAGCCCTAATAATCCCCTCCAGCAGCCGAAGGACAGGGTTCATTAGCACAGTACAATAACTCTACATTTTAAGAAGCACCCGTTAGTCGTGTGTCTGTCCTTCTAGGTGTGATGCCAAGGCTGTGGTTTTCCTTGACTGTCAAAAGGGAATGTTGTGTGCTTCTCATTCAAGTCTGGAGGTTTTTTACACCACAAATAATATGAATAACCAATAGGAGTAATTCTTGAAGGCTGGATCTATCACCGATGTACACTTGTATGAAAGACCCGAGGTCTTCAGAAGGATCGAACTGCCCATGTCAACCCATACTACTAAGTGCTCCATTACCCAAGTTGACAACGCAACCTATGCATAAGAGAATCTGTGTAAGAACGTTATTTAGAGGAGCACAAACCCACTACACAGCAACCCTGAATAGCAGAAAAAAGAATGAGAATGGCTATGCAACATCTTCCAACAAAGTGGATACACACACACACACAACTTTACCAAAGCGTGCCTGGACACTCAACCCACTGCAGCGCAATCAACACAAGTTATGAAAAGGATCACACTGCCCGACATCAAAGCCATCTCCAAAATAGCCCACAGACAACCACGCGGCATCACTGTAGCACATAAACCAACTAAAGCCTGCCAAAACACCCTAAGTAAACCAAAAGACTTAGTAACCCAAGAAGAAAAATACAGAGTCATTTACAACACAGAGAATAAAGGTACAGATAGCGCAAGGATTGTGTAAATGTTATTTTATCACCAGCTTCCGTCTGCACCTCTTTCACCAAACTGATTCAAGGTGGGGCTGTTTACAGTGGTGGGGTGGCATGGTAGCTCAGTGGTTAAGACGCTGAGCTCATCATCTGGAAAGCTGGCAGCTCAGGTTCGAGACCTGAAAACTACACGATGGGGTGAGCTCCCCTTCTCCCCACTGCAGCTGCCCACCTAGCCATTCAAAAGCATGCAAATGTGAGTAGATAAATAGGTACCACTGGCGGGAAGGCAAGGGTGCTCTGTGACACCATGTGGCCACATGACCATGGGAATACCTTCGGACAAAACTGACGCAATGGCCTTGAAACGGAGATGAGCAGCGCCCCGTAGAGTCAGCAACAGCTAGCAGAGTAAAATCTTCCTTTACCTTTTACTCCTATTTAGAAGGGCATTTTTCTCACACCTTTAAGGCTAAACTGTATCTTGGTTTGCTTTCATGGTTCCTGTCCAGCTTCCTCAAGGTCTCCTGCATTCCTCTAGACCATCAAACTCGGTTCCTCGGGCTATATTACATCCTGTTTCCCACCTAGATGAATATATTTTTTAAAAGTTGCTATCTTTGTGAAATTCCATTCTGGAATAAAAGAATAGCACTGAATCTATTTTCAAGTTGCTTTGTTCTGTTGTTTTGATGAATGAATGAATGAATGTACAACAGGCGCATCTACCTGTAAGAAAACAACATCACAGCATAGAGAAAGATCCGTAGTTGGCTGCACCTCCCATGTGTCTGGAATTATGAGAAGGTGAGGAGGTGTGATGACCCGGGTATGACACAAAGGCAACATAGTCAGATAATCAGTAGGAGTCCCTTTATTAGCTCCAACTTTGCCCCCAAGTCCTGGTTACCTTCTGAGCTGGAGAAAAACTCTCCCAGGAACAGCCTTGGGCTACAGAGAATCAAGTCCAAAACATGGTCAACAAAAACTGTAACTATAAGTCCAATCAAGGCAAAATGAAGCCATTAGTCCGGCAGGGCAGGAGCAGGAATTCCAGACGTGAAGGAACAGCAGTAATTCAACACAGTTGGGAAGACGCCAGGAACACAGATAACCACAGTCAACACAAGATAAATTCACGTTTGTTCCCAGCAGACGCAGCACTCAGCTTGCAACTCTTTTAAACTCGCTTTCCAGGTGTGGCTAATGAAGGGAATCAGGGCCCTTTCCTCCCCCATAAGCCATGCAACCCACATTGCTCCCTTCTCTGTTCTTCCCTGCATGCCCTAGGATGAAGAGGGAGGTGGGCCTAGGTCTTCCTCTGAACTCCCTCTCCCTTGCTCTACTTCTCCCCTGCTCTGCCCAGCTGGACTTTGCCCTTCCCAAGTTTCCTCCACAGCCAATGGAGCCACACTCCCCCTCCCTGTCAGCTGTTCATCTTCCTCCTCGGATTTAGACTCCGACAGGGCATTACAGGAGGCATGCAAAAGAAGCATTGTTCTTTCACATGACTCACTAATGATGATTCTGTGTTTACAGAAACGCAATGCAGCCTCCGGGCCATCTGTGCAGAGGGCTAGACGCCTGAATCCTGGCTTAGACGTTTCTTCTTCTACACTCTGAACAGTTGGTGGATCTCTCCCACAAACATGTCACCAACCTCCACAAAGTGAACAGAAGGTCTTGCAGACAGAAAACGACCAGAACTTGACTGCACATGTGGCAAACCTCAATCCAGGTTTCATGGTGATAGTAGATGACAAGCTTGGGTAACCAAAACCAACCCCAAATGGGTAGTAATTTCAATA